TTGACTAAACGACTAAGACAGCATCCTTGCCAGGCAGAGGTGACAGCCGCCTTTAATCCCAGCACTTGGGAGGAAGAGACGGGCAGATCCCTATGAGTTTGAGGCCAGCCTCATCTACAGAGCTAGTACCAGGACAGGCTCCGAAAGTTACAGAGAACCCTGTCTTGAAAAACAAAACAAAACAAAACAGACTGCGGCCTTCCTCCCATCACTCCAGACTCCGCCTCCTGGCTCACAACGCCGCCTTCAGTCTAGTGTGTGCTATCTTTCCTCGAAGGACACTTATCTATGGATTTAAAAACCATTTAAGATAGTCTAACACAAATGCTTTTCCTGGGATCCTTAGCCTACTGGTGCTGTTTGACAGCAGAGGCAATGCTTTTACCCAGAATGTGCAAGGCCCTGGGTTCAAATCCCAGGAGTACAAAAATCATCAAAATGTTTCTTATCTAGGTGGGTTGCCACAGGTCTGTAATCAACACTCAGAAGGCTGAGGTCACAAGGCCCGGACAGGCAGGGCTGGATAATGAGAATCTGTCTGGAAAAACAACTACAAAATGGCAACACCTGAGCTCCAGCGGTCGCTAAGAACCCTTGGTCTTCCCAGCATCCAAGTCCGATCCCAGCACCCGCACACGGCAGCTCACCACTGCCTGGAACTCCAGCTACTTGGGGCTCCCCGACTCTTTGCCATCTCGTTTCTTTATCTCCTTGAAAGAGCATTTCTGTACCAAGGCGCTACCGCTTGGTAAACCCCCGTATTAGCTGGGCATGGAGGTCACGCTTGTAACCCCAGCCTATGGGAAGCAGAGGCAGGAGGATTGCTGTTGACTTCCAGGCAAGCCTGCTGGCCTGCGTCGTTTCCAGTCTCTTACAACTAGACATTTTCAAGACATAAACCAACCACTCCTACCACCTCCACGCCTGTATTAACCTGGTGACTCCTCCATCCTTTTTGGCCTCAGGGACCTCTTTTCTCTGTGTGCTCTAAAATTCCTCTTCTAGGAATTAGATTTGGAGATGCGCCCCCCCCCCATCTGAGTTTCTCCCTTGGCATTGTGAGTTACCAGAGGTCACAATGTCTCCATTAATTTTGTGGGTCCCTGAGGGCAAGGACTTTTTAAAATCAATCCTGGCCTGATACAAGCTGTGCACGCCGTGGGTACTCAGTAGTGGTGGATTGACTGGGTAAACAGAGCCCTTGGTCCCTGGCGCGGTTGCGCCAGTCTTTCCACAGGGAGAAAGCAATACCATTAGGCAGAGCAGACTGAATCTCTTAATGGGATTACCTGGGATTTGTAGGCAGTGGACTCTTTCCCCCCATTTTATTGGGTCCGTCCATCTCCACAGAAGAATTCCCCAACAGAAACCATGCCTGCTGCTGGCCAAATGGTGACCACCACTGATGATTGCCTTGATTTCTTCCCCACTAAAGCTACTGTCACCAGTCCAAAGAAAGGGAGAACTCAGTTCAGTACTGAGACAAGCAAAATTTACCCGAGTTCTGGCGCTGAACTTTCTCTGCATCTGAAGCATTCACTGTGAGCCAAATTGGAGGCTTAGCAAGTTTTATAACTTAAAATATGACTTGATACACAGTTGTTTAGTCGGAGAGACGATGATGGTTCAGCGGTTAAGAGGAGAGCACTTGCTGCTCTTATAGAGGACCCAAGTTTGGGTCTCAGCCTCAGGAATCTGACACCTTCTGAGCTCTTAGGGCACCAAACCTGTGCATGGTATACAGACATACACAAAAGCAGAGCAGTCACACACATAAATCTTCCAAGTGGAGGCCAGTGTTTCTTCTAGCTGCTTTAGAATTGTATGATCGCCTCCACAATCAATGGCTCCTCTTCCTTCCGCCTTTCTTTGGTTTCTGAAACAGGGTCTTGCTACGTAGCTCTGGCTGGCCTGGTACTCATTTTGCCCAAACTGGCCTCAAAACTGTGGCAATCTTGTCCCAGCTTTCCCAAGTGCTGGGATTGTAGAGTGTGTTACCAGGCTGGGTAACACATTTTCTTCCCTGACCTTAAGTTAGCAAGTAATTGAGCTAAGGGAGAAAGATTTTAGCGATAGAGAAATGAAAGAAGGCCTGTTGCCACAATTATAAAGTTTTAACTATAAAGATTCAGAGTTCCAGTTTAGATAAAACTACCATTTGCTCACAAAACTATCATTTTGCAGGTTTCTCACAACTTTGAACTACATGGGTACATAGGGGATGGGGAAGGCAAGCAGGCAGTGGGTTGTTGAAGGATTCTCTTTAATGACTCAGAGCTGCCTGGGGCACAGCTTCCCCTTCTCAACCTTAGTAAGAGCAGCTGGGGTTGACGAACTGTGGTTAGAGATGCTTGTTTCACCCCCAAGAAAGGCTCATTTAGCACCTCGACTGTTTTCCTGCAGTGGTGGAAGGGTGCCTGCTGCCCCTGCTAATCTGGGGAACTATCAGGGCAGCAGGGGCAAAGAGGTGGGCAATTCACCCGAAAATGGTGACTGCTGATTTCGGGTTATGTGCACCCCAGCTTCTCTCCATGCAAGGGCTCTATTAAGAGCTGACTGGAACAAAATGAAGCTGCAGTTCTTCCCTAGAACCATCTAGGGAGCCACAGCAGCTCCACAGGGACCAGGAAAGCATGCTGGGAAATGTCATCTCCACTTGCCATTTCTATGGTGGAGTAGGGCTCATGTTGCATCTGGTTCTCCTGGGGTGGGCGCAAGGACAAAAGGCTCAAGAGTGGGAAAGCTCTCCCAGTGACACAGGAGGAACAGTACTGGTTCACTTTCATTTTATTATAAAGCTGAGATGAGGGTTGTTGTCTAGATGGCGTGTCCAATCTGGTCTGTGGACCACATGAGGCTGAAGATAGCTCTGACCAGTCTAAATGCAAAATCGATCTCAGTTCTTCATTCTTATTTCTTGTTTATTGCGTGGGGCTTAAGTGTGAACTTTGTCGATGACAATGAAGTCGCACACTGTCAGACTGGCCTGCTGCAGAGAGTCGCTCTTCCTCAGGGGAGCAGCCCCTGAGGCATCTGGTAGGTGGGCCCCAGAGTCACACAAGCAGCCCTGAGGACTAAGAGCACTTAAAAACAAGAGCATGTGAAATTGCTGGGGGGGGGGGCAGTCAGGGTAGAAAAGGAACTGGAGCGAGGGAATCAGGGGATTTCATCAAATCACATCCTATGCATGAGAACAATTAAAATGAAAGGGACTGAATGAATGTTATCAGGAGAGCCCCAGCAGGAAGAGTCTCTGCAGTGACCAACTGCTGAAGCCCAGGAGCCGTGCCAGTTTGGTCCACTGCAGGAGAAAGCAACATTGCCTTTGCAACAGTTCAATTAGGCAGGTTTGGAGAAGTCTTTGAGCTGGACTTGGCACGCTCCAGGGCACGAGTGTGAGGATCAGAATTAAGCAAAAAGAAACAGAAATAAGACATGAAACACAGAATAGGAGGGAAACCCATTTTGATACCCCACTCCAAAACGGTGGGGGGGGGGGCGGACTTTGTTAACATCTCCAAACTCTGGTCCAAGCAGAGCTGGCTCTCTATACTCAAGACACTAACTAACCATGCCCTAGGTCAGGATCTCTCCTGCTCTCTAGCCACCTGTTGTCATAACTCTGACAAGGAACGGACTCACATCTGTGGGCCCCAGCAATCAAGCTGTTTCAAAATGCATAGAAAGTCAGTGAGAAGGCAGGAGCAGGTACACTCTTCCATTGACTGAGGAGGGCTGAGATGGTAGCATTCCCATAACCTTTTGCCTAATCCTCAAGTGCTAACATGCGAGGTAATAAATGGACGGTCTCCGTTCAGGTAAGTTCTTTAAAATACTGGTTACTTAGTGTGTGTTCATATGGCAGTCAGTTCTCTCCTGCCGCCATATGGGTCCCCGGGATGGAATTCAGGCCAGGTTACCAGTTTGGCAGTGTCTTTACACACTAAGGAACCGCCCCCTTTAAAAATGCTAGGAATGGTTATTCATGTTTGTACCTCTGCTTACAAGCCAGAGGCCAGGTGAGAGACAGGTTCCCTGGAGCTGCTGGGAGTTCAGATCTTCTGAAAGAGCATGGAGTGCCCCTTAACCTCTGAGCCATCTCTCTAGTCCTTCTCCCAATCAAACCTAATCCCAGCACTGGGGGCAGGCGGATCTCTGAGCTCAAGGGCAGCCTGGTCTACAAGAGCTAGTTCCAGGACAGGCTCCAAAACTAGAGAAGCCCTGTATCAAAAACCAAAAATAAGGTAGGCCATGGTGTAACATGCCTTTAATCCCAGCACTCAGGAAGCAGAGGCAGGTGGATGTCTGAGTTTGAAGTCAGCTTGGTCTGTAAAGTTCCAGGACAGTCATGGCTGTTATGCAGAGAAATTCTGTCTTGGAGGGGGGGGGATGAAAAATAAAACAGAACCGATGTCCTTTAAAAAGTGATTTATTCTGAATATTAAAGAGATTAATGATTGTCTATGCAGTGTTTTGCCTGCATGTATGCCTGCACTCCTAAGTGACTTTACAGACTGGAAACAATGGCTCTTGGTCTTAGTGATGTGGGATTTCCCTGTGTGCTGTGATTACTATTGACAGAAGAAACTGCTTTGTACCTATAAAAGGGAAGACAGGCAGGGGAAGACTGAATGCTGGCAGGAAGTAGACCCCGAGCAACGCTGATGGAAAGCCTTCTCACCTGGACAGGCTACCCCAACCCTGGGCCCAAGGCTCAACCCTTTCTTCTTCCTAGTCCGCTTGTTTGCGCTTTCTGGTAGCTCAAGGAAAGGAAAGCAGAAGGGCCCCTGTCAACAAAGGGATTAGAATTAGGATCTCAGACTGAAAAGTAGTCCCAAAGCAGACTGGCTTCAAAGGGAGGTGTGAGGTGTGTGTGTGTGTGTGTGTGGTGCGTGTGGTGCGTGTGGTGCGTGTGGTGCGTGTGGTGCGTGTGGTGCGTGTG